AAATAAATCAAATCCACTCAAAGTCACACACATTAAAGTCCACCAAAGCCGTTCTAATATATTGTTATGAAAATACATTATCTTTTTGAAATTTTAGTGTAAAACACTTTTAAAACATGTCTCAAATTTTAAAAATACTATTGACATAGTATAAAAATAGACGATCACCATATCACAAGGTGCCATAACATATAATTCATCAAACTAGTACTCCAAATCAATTCTCAATCATAAATATCTTAATCTCCCAACATAAATCTAACCTAAAATGATGAATGTTAATTGACAATCCAACAAAGATGTCCATAATCAACTCCAAGGCAACTAAATCACATAACCTAATAAAGTCTTTCTATTAGTCTATTAAAATGGAATTGCCCAAAGTAAGAACCTGCTTCACTGCCACAAAAGTAATCCACAAACTACTGCACAATTCAGACTCAGATCCCCCTCCATCCTCCCCCCCCCCCTTCCTCCCCAACACCCTCGGCATGTCGACTATCGGACAATATCCAACAAAGTATTCATACTAGTCAATTTGCACCATAAATCACTATCATTCAGGTCCTAAACCAATGACTACCATAACAATAACAATATGAAGATCTTCCTAAGATAGTAATATGAACATCATTTCCTCAATTTCTCTCATTCAGGTTAACAAGTCCACTATTTGCAGGAAAACAGAGATAACAAATACAAAGTAGAAAACTTTCTCCTTTACCCAACTCCCAAATCCACTGCTTTTCTCAACACCAACATTACCAAATGCAAATTTCAGTCAAAAGGGCAGCATTCAAATAGCATAAAGATTGAAAATTGATGATGGGTATATAACAATATGCAAGCTTATAGCATAAATTCATCAAATTATACAAATGGAATCAATAAATAGCATGAATTATGAGGAAATTACCCAATAAAAGTAGTACCTTGGAGGTCTGGTGACTAGAACACCGGGATGCCCATAAGAAGCAGATGGTGGAGGTGGAGGTGATGATGGTGGTTGGAAAGCTGAAGAACCCATCAATTTGACATCGTTTGAGAACTTACTAAATGCGCTTTGAACACTCTCCATTTCACCCCAACTCCAGTATGGAGACCAAAACCCCTTTTAGGTTTATACAGTGAAGTAGTGAACAAATATATTGAGGTTTAAAGGTTTTTGCATTTTTTTTTTAACAAAACATAGAACCAATTATTTTATTTTTTTTTCCTTTCTGTACTTAAAAGAAAAGCATACACAATTTTAAATATTACCTCCGTTTCATAATATTTGCAATGATTAAAGGTAGTAAGACGGTTTTACCATAAAGCTGAGTCAATTTAGGACTTTCGGTATTCAAGTCAGGTTATGTCGAATAATATCATGTTTTGGGTCCAACACTCCAGCTTAGGTCATGTCGGGTAAATCTAGCATCCAAGTTAGGTTTAGATTCGGTTTGGGTCAATTGAAGTTTAATTCGGTTGAGTAAAGGTCATTTTTCGGTTTTTCTAGATGTAGGTTGGGTTCATTTTGAGTCAAATTCAAGTCGGGATTCACTTTTAAGTTCGGGATATATCAGGTCGTGTTTGAGCTTTTGAGGTGGGTTTATGAGTGGTAAATTTGGATTTGGATAAGTCTAGTCGAATGATCATCTTGTCCAATAATCTTTATATGGTCATCTAGGTCAATGTCGTTTTTTTTTTTTTTTTTGAGCCTATATAATTACGTGTTTTAAAATTTGGATTTATGAGTGGAATACCAAGAATGACCTAACATAAAAATTATTTGGCAAGAATGATCATTTGACTAGACCTATCCAAATCTGAATTTACCACTCATAAACCCGCCTCAAAAGCTCAAACACGACCTAATATATCTCGAACCTAAAAGTATCAATATGTTGTCAACACAAAATTTAAAGGATCTTGCTAACGAGCGCCCCGAGGTGTTACATAAGCAATAATTATATTGGTTGAAATGGTATTGAGTTAGGAATGCATGACAAAATTACGCGTCATTCAGTGTAATTAATGTTAATTTAACTCTAATATTCCCACTTTTAATTCTCTTATCTAACGCCCCGAGGGCGCTCATTAGCTTTTGCCAAAATAAAATTATGTTTAATAAAATAATGAATTAATAAATTTAAGATTATTTTTACTTGAACTTCTTGGGTAAAATTGTAAAGCAAAAAAAAAAAAAAAACAGGTCTATTTAATATTTGAATCCATTTCATTTATCTAGTCAATGGCTAGGGGAGTTAACAACATCGTGTAAAATAAATTTGAGTTACAAGCCACCACGAGTTAGGTCAATATCAGGCCGAGTCAGTTTTTGGCATCTGTGTTGTACTATAGGTGGGTTGGTTTGGATTAATGGGAGGGGGAAAGTGGGATAAAGACATATGCTCGCAATGACACATAAAAGTTTATTAAGTATTGTATAATGATAAGACACTATTACACAAATGATTTTAAGATCTTTCACTCCTTATTGGGTAAATTCTTCAATAGTCTTAGTTATTGTGAACCACATTCACACAAGTTTTTTTTGTTTCTTCTTTATTGTAATTTGTAATTTATGTACTACCTCCGTTTTTTTAAGTTAACACGTTTTGACTTTAGCCATATTCACACACTCCGCTTTAACCGTGTTTTGTGCTTTATACGTAATAAAATATATTGTCATGTGGGATCTTGTTAGATTCGTCACCATAAATATTTTCAAAAAATCAATTTTTTCATATTTTTGCTTATTACAAATTAAAGATATGAATGGTTAAAGACTTAAAATAGTGCATTGACAAACGTAACTAAAGAAACGTGTCAATTAAAATAAAACGGACGAAGTATTACACTATGAGAATTACTATTGTTGCTCATTCTGTCATTCAAGCCAGAAAAAATATGGAGTAAGTTACACCCGATCTCGGTCAATAGATGATAGATTGTTGGGCAATTAGCCAAATTGGTATAAAAGTTAGTACCATTGTGACATATTGGTATAAAAATTATCGCCGGCAATATATTGGTATAAAAGTTAGCAATTTGTGACATGTTGGTATAAAAGTTAGTCACCGACGACATATTAGTATAAAAGTTAACAAATTGCGACAAACTGATATAAAAATTAACAAGCTGTAACATTTCACCTTTATTTTCTTGCCGAATGAGGTTTTTTTTTCTAAAATAAATTTGTTGTTAATTCTCATTTTATGATAAATAATTATCTCCTTCATACTCATTCACCTAAAATAATCAATTACATTATACTAAAGGCGAAATTTAGAGAACACTTGGCAAAATATTATAAAAAGTTTTCCCTCCAAAACCACTTACTAAAAAAAACTTATCAATCATCAATCAATTAACCTATACTAAAAGCGAATCTAAAGTGACACTTGTCATGATGTTATAAAAAAATTTCTCGCCTTTTTATCTTTCCTTTTTTTTTTAATTTTTTTTGCTAAATTTTAATGACTTCCATTTTATAACCTACCATAATACTTATTTCCATTTTGACAACACATTTAATCCAATCATACTCAATTAAATTTTTTTTTTATTATTATTTTTCAACATATTTTATATACTATAAATCTTTTAGTTACAAATATACTAACATATTTAAAATTAAGGTATTGACATATATCATCATCCAAGATTATCATAATATTTTTTTTTTCCTCCGACTTAAAATTTATTTTAATTTAAAATAGGAATAATAATTTTGGTAGGATACTTTGTATAAATCTTACAAATATACATAACGTTTATAAGAACAACTGAACAAAATCATTTTATTATATTATGCTCCTCCGTTTTTTATAAGTTATGGTTGAATTTGCACATTTGTTGAGACACAACTTTGACCATCAATATCTTTAATTAGAGACTATTATTTTGTTACAAATATTTTTTTGTGGATAAATGTGTTGAATTAACACCATTCTTTATAAATTTTGTTGTAAAATTTAATTATGACCGTGCATGGCACGGGATTTAACCTAGTTACATTATACTAAAGGAAAAATTTAGAGAACACTTGAAAAAATATTATAAAAAGTTTTCCCTCCAAAACCACTTACTAAAAAAAACTTATTGTAATTGGATTACGACTTTTAGTTTGTATAAAATCTAAAATAAATGTCCTTAAATATCAAATTGCCCATTGTAACTATTACATGTTTAATTAATTTCTTTCACAATATTTCATACTTTTTACTACCAAGTCTATTTATAATATTTATATCCATTATTTTTGGTAAAATTTATTGTCATTAGATTATTTAACAACCGTGCATTGCACGGGGTTTAATCTAGTCGATAAATAATAACAAAAAAAAAATCACCAGTTAAAAAAAAATCTCAAAAAATGAATGGAAAGAGAAATTTTTATAATTTAGTGTCTCAAAAGTGAAAATTGTCATGTAATAAGTTGTGATATTTAAGAAGTTGAGAGAATATATATATATATATATATATAATTGAATATTTGAAAAAAAAAAGCTCGATATAATCTCGAAAATATTTAATCAAAGACTTTGATCTTGTAATTTTTCTTGATTCCTCTACATAATCTAGAATATTTCTCTATATTTTCCTTTTTTCTCTTTTTTTTATTCTTTAACTTTTTGGGTGGCTTTTAATAGTTTTCAAAAATAAAAATATAAAGCAAAAAATAGTAAAGGAAAACAATAGATTTAAGCTGCAACAAATAAGAATTATCTTTTGTACAATATACGCTTATTATTCTAAGAAAAAAAAGGGTTAAATGTCATTACTAATAAACTTTTATACCAATATGTCATCCTATGGTAACTTTTATACCAATACGTCACCGATGACTAACTTTTATGCCAATCTGTCACAACTTGCTAACTTTTATCCCAATTTATCACCGGCGATAACTTTTATACCAATATGTCACAAGGGTGCAGATTGCTTATTGTTTATGATTTGAGAGACAAGCATTGGACTTGGTTACTTGACTGGCCACCATTTATCCGCAACACAAACGAAATCCACTTGAAAAGCCACAAACCTCACTCACCCAGTCACCCTTTTCACCTCTTCCTCCTTATCTTTCTTCTTCTTCTTCCATTACACTAATCATCTATTACTACAGTACTACTTGTATTGAACAACAGCTTCTAACATTTTTAAGCTTGCTTTCTTTCTTTAACAATGGCTGCCCTTTCTCTTCCCAAACATTCCCTTCCTTTTACTCTTCCTTCCCAAACCCCAAAACCCCATTCTTCTCAAAACCTCTGCATCATCTCCAATTCAACTCAATCCCAATTTTGTGGCCTCAAGTTATCACACCCTTCTTCTTTCTCTTCCCCCTTTTCTTCTCGTTCTTCCAAATCCGCCATTGTTAGTGCCAAGGTTCAACATTTTGCTGAAATTATTGATTTTTTGTGGGATTTTCTGATTTTTGAATGAATTTTCTATCTGGGTTTTTGATTTTGTTTATGAAAATAATTAAAATTTGGTTGGAAAATGCAGGTTTCTGAAGGTAGTCAGGCACCTGCATTTACTTTGAAAGATCAAGATGGAAGGAATGTGAGCTTGACTAAATTTAAAGGGAAGCCTGTTGTTGTCTATTTTTACCCTGCTGATGAAACCCCTGGTTGCACCAAACAGGTCCTTACCACTATTTCCATGTCTTTTATTTGCATAATTTTAACTGTTGCTCAAATTTATGTTACTCCGACTCTTCATTTCACCCCGATTACTCATGTTGAATCCTCGACACTCTGACATGGGTTACAAAATAGTTGAGTTGGACATTTGGCCATGTACCCTAGTCTGAGTAACATAGGTACACATTATACATATTGGCTTTACTATATGCCAAGGTTATTTGATATGCTTTTGCTCCTTATATGTAGAATTTAAATTTGGTTCTACGACAAATTTTGATTCTTATATGCTATTTTTTCTTAGGAGATGGCAGATGGCATTGTGAAAGAACTACTTAAATAGCCTTTTATACCCTTCAAGAACCAATATCATAGGGATTAGACTGATAATTGGATTACAAATAGTGATCTTGTTTAGGTGATTGAAGATTTGAAGCAATATTGAGTCTTTAGGTACATTCACTATTTGAGAATATTAGGGGCCAAAATTTACTTTGGTTGTTTATGCTTTCTAATGTTAATCCTTTATTATGTGTATTATGTTGTCATGTGAGATGTTGTTGGTGCATACTTTTATTCATTAGCTTCGAGATGAGTTGAAATGATATATCAATTGTTGATTTGATCATTCTCGGGTTTAAAAATCATGTTCTATGGTATAATATGAAAGTCAAGGGTGCGAATTTTCATTTTGCAAGTAGATAGCGTTAAAAAGTTGGTCAGCCAAACGGGGTTTAGAGTATTGCGTAGTAGTTATTGAAAGATGATAACAAACTTTCAAATGAAGTAACTTTGGACGATGAGGCAAAGGAAAATGACCTTGCTTTATGAAACAGTCATTACTCACAAGCAGTTGTGGCGCGTAGATTGGTTTGTTCATAATGTTAAAGGTATGCTATATGTAGAGTTGTGGACCAGGATGATTAACAATTTCGAGGGGGGGGGGGGGGTTCAACAATTTAGATGAGGCTAATTGATTATTTAGGTCATATGTACAAGGATATGCAAATTATCTTTAACATCCTATGGAAGCATTGAAATATGTTATCTTCCTGTATTCACATGAGAGTGGACCGATTATTGAATGAGGAAGTAAGATATAGGAGCCAAACCTAAATATGTAAAGGCCAGTACTTCTCCCTAATTATTTGATTTTTAACTGATGGTATTTCTGGTAAGATGGTGGCATCAGCATAAATAGAAGATCAACCCCCCCCCCCCCTCCCTGCCACCCACCCCTTATAAGTGAACCTACAAAAAAGAGCCAAAATTTGAAGTCGAGGGAAGTTATTGTTGGTTTATGTAACATTCTTGTGAACTTGCCATGGGTGAAAGGGAGAGTTCCTGGACAACAGCGATCTATCTTGGTCAAAGCCTATTTGATGTCTTTAAGGCATTGTCTTAGTCCAAGTAGCATGATTCCTACCTATATCTATTATCTCCGCAACAGACCTTCCATCAATCTAGTTTTCTGCTTACTTGCAGTAATTCAATGAGACGTACTATATGCCTAAAAAAGTCTCTCTTTTCTCTCATGTATAGTTGCTAAGATGATGAATGATAGGCAGAGCAGCCATAATGTGTAATTTTTGGTCTCATCCCTCTAGCTAGAGTACTTCCAAAATTGAGCCAAGTGTTCTAGAATCTAGATCTCTGGAAACCTGGATGTATGTTTTGGTTAAAAGTCAATAGATAAAATATCTAAGCTGTCAATCAAAATACTAAGTTTCATGGACCGATTTGGCTCAATTTATAGGGGTGGTAATGAAACCTACTCAATATCATATCAAATACAAGCATTATTTTTGAGGACCGAGATTTATACTGGTCAACTGTTTTCTGTTTCTAAGGCTGTTCTTGTAGCCCCTCATGTAAAGCTCCCATTGCAGATTGCTTTCTTTGAGATAGATTAATATCCTATACCTATGCTGTGCGGATAGCAGACTGCAGTTGGCTTAGGGCTTCTGCAGTTCTGCTTCTCTTTTTTATACGCAGTTATAAGCAATTTAGTAGTCAATTGCACTTGACTTAGAATCATTTTAGAATGTCAGTGCACTTTGAAGAATCTAATAACTTAATGCGGGATTTGCTCTGCCACATAGGCACGTATATGAGATTGTCCTTTTAATTGATTTCTCATTGCACTGATAAATGGCTTAATCAATGGTTAAAATGTTGTCTGAAACTATGTATATTCTTTGTATCTCTTAGTGCCATTACTTGACCATTTTGCTTTTTCTCCACAGGCTTGTGCTTTCAGAGACTCATATGAAAAGTTTAAGAAAGCAGGGGCAGAGGTTATTGGTATCAGTGGTGATGATTCATCGTCTCACAAGGTAAAAACAGAACTCTAGTGCATTGCAGTTCACACTTATTCAGCAAAATTTTCATTTAATTGGATGACTGTCGGATTATTTTGGCATAGGAGAATTATAGTCCCTCGATACATGCATTACTTTGTTATTAATGATCAAAATCCATACACTTCATGATAAATATACTTTTCTTTCCTCTTTAATCACCTCTCCCCCCCACCCCCACCCCACCCCCCCAAAAAAAAAAAAAAGTTTATCTTGCACCTTACATGCATGTACACATATGAAGGACTAAAAAAAGAATAGAAAGGTGGGTTGGGTGAGTCATACATGAAGTGCAAGGAAATTACAGATTTACAGTTATATGTTTGCATTTTTAAAGTCCCTTAAGAAAGGGAGATGCTGTTATTTGAAGTCAGTGATAAAGAAGTTGAATGGTGGTAAGATTTGGGTTCAAAATCCTGTCTCTGAAAAGACAGAAATCGTATCCCCGTTGTGGCTACCTTTGAACCAAAAAGAGAAGAAAAACAATATAAATTTTAAAGGTTGTGTTTGTAGCCTGCAGTATAGGCATATAGCTTATTCTTTGTTATGAGACATATTTTGTACTTTGTAAGGTTTTGTGTTTTGCCTTAAGGATTTCCACTCAACTATTAGTTGACATTCTTGTTTGGCGTTGATTATGCAAAACTTTTAGCATTCCTAAATCTGTGAGGCAGAAAGAAGAAAAACCTACTGCAGTTCTTCTCAGGGGAAATCAGTTTACCACTGTCCACTGCACAGCTAACATGCACCAAATTTACACCCTTATATATGTTTGAAGTTTCTGACGTGTACTCTTGTATGTATTCAGTCATTCAAACAGAAGTACAAGCTTCCTTTCACTTTGCTAAGTGATGAGGGTAACAAGGTGAGAAAAGAGTGGGGAGTCCCATCAGATCTCTTCGGAGCTCTCCCCGGGAGACAAACCTATGTCCTTGACAAGAATGGAGTTGTCCGGCTTGTTTACAACAATCAATTTCAGCCTGAGAAGCATATTGACGAGACCCTCAAGTTTCTACAAAGCCTTTGAGCAAGATCTCTGATAGCAGATTCTGTGAATCCTTCTCTCCTCTCTCTTCAAATTAGCAACCCCGAATCCTTGATTCTCCAACGTCTTAGATCTTTCTCTGCAGTAATTGTGATTAATTCTGTATACTATTCCCAAAATTTCTATCAACAATTAAATGCAATAAAAGTTGAGAATATCAGAATTCGGCAGATATTTGCTCACTATTATCAGCAGCTCTCTGGGATATTGATATGTTGCTAGTTTTTTTCTTGTTTGTTGCGATTTTTTAACCTGTCAACCATGGATAAGTTTCAGAGTTTCAGTACACTTGAGGTTACTTCATTCATTTGGTATAAAATCAATAATTTACCAACTGAACTTTTATCTTGCACTGCCACAATGGTAATTGTATGAGCTTTTGACGTCTCCTTTTAAAGTTGTCTTGTTTACTTTTTGTTTCTCTACCAACTGCCAATTTTTGAACTAACCTTGGGTGAGGTTTGTTGGTGATCCATGAGGCCTTGTTGAACATACATGCTCGCTGGCGAGCTTCATTTGACACTCGTCATAGTCTAAAATATGGGCTGGTGATCTGAGCTGATTAAGAAGTCTGTATATTATCAGATCCTCATGAAACTACAAAATGATACTGTCAGAGTGTCAGATGCTCTTCTGGGACCATATATTTGTTTATATTGTGCATTTGCATCATTAGACCTTCTTTTAGGTAGGTAAGGAGAAGGCCCTAATCGAGTTAGCGGGTTAGGCCCTTTGGGGGTGGGGAGGGGGGAAGGCGATAGATAATAGTCTTGCTATTGCAGCTGTGATAAAAATTACCAAAAGACGAGATAGAAGGGAAAGGAACACAAACTGTAACTCAAATGCAACACAGAAGATTATAATATTGCTTATCATGTTATTACATGCTACTATACTGATTGTTACATGCTTACTGCAATGCCCTACAAAATTACAGAAATATAAAAGCTTACTACAGATTTTCAGACTAGTATCTGTTTTATTTTGCATTTTCACCACTAGAAATCTAGCTTTATTAGCTAAATCCATAAATACACCTAGTGGTTATGAAATTAAATGATGATATATGACCATAATATTACTTGCACATAATTAGTTGCTTGTTGAATTGCTTTGATTAGTTGTCTTCGTCGTAATCCTGACTGGTGTAAGGGCTGAATGCTTCAGACAACCAGCTATTCTTCCTCCAGGAATTCCATCCCATCTCCTCACAAAGTTCATCATTATGATTAATGATATAGGTTGAAATGCATTGCCTTTTGTAGAACCTGGTTGTCCTTTTCATAACTTCCACCTCCTTTTCGATATGCCCTAGCATATTCTCTACACTAGGGAGCTTGAATCGGTCATCCACGAGCCTTGCTAGCCACTTGCACCGTAGCTCAGCTGTTTGTAGGTTTGAAACCGTCTCAACGTAGCCTATAAAAGCCATGTTTGGAATCATAGGGTTTATGGTGCTCCTGCAATTTAGTCAAATAGGATTCATTAGATTAAAGAATTAATCTTAGTAATTACATTAGGTTAATATAAGCAAGAAAATAGAAAACGGACTATGATTTTTCCAAGGGCAATATTCATCTGTCAAGGTAATAAGACAATAATGCCTCACCCTCAACTAAAACTACTTTTGTAACATACCATCAATGAATATTATTGTCTTAACTTTAGCAGATAAGATAACAATTACGGATTTATTGAAAAATACTCAAAAAGTCGGTATTGTTCTTACTTGTACAATGGCATAACACCATTATAATCAAGGAAGCTAGTGAAGGGTTGAGGTAGAATGGATTCTAGCTTCTTCTTCCCATCATAACCAGTTGCACAAATCACTATGTCTGCCTCAAGCTTGCTACCATCGTCGAATTGGAGTCCATTTTCATAAAACCACCATTTCGACGCCTTCTTAAACTTGATTCTTCCCTCATCAGCCTCAGGGAAGAACTTTTCAGGCAAAATTGCCATTTGACAACTTGCATAATCCTCATGGAAGGGATGCTCTGGTTTTAGCCCATGCTTCTCATATGGAAGCTTCCATAGCAAGTAACTCTCTATAATTTTCGACACAACTCGTCTCTGAAACAAGCAATATTGCATCATGAATGGTTAGAAATGTGCACATTTTATTAACCTAATCTCAATGTCATAATCTTATTTAACTTCTAAAGGTAAATATATAAGACTGAAATCTCCAAAATAAAGCGTCGTATTATATTGTTACATATTTATTTATTGTGTTTATACACAAATCCTTGATTACAAAAATGTTTTGCAAGGTGTAGCTTCACAAAACATTAAACAAGTTCGGTTACGAAGTATTCCTTACATTATAATATAAATAAACTGTCAAAATTAGGTAACGAACAACAACTCGAATATACATTGTATGGAAAAAAAAAAAAAAAAATTTAAAAATTTACCATAGGCGATAGGAGGAGGCACATTAAAGCCCTAAGAGAGTTTTGGTCAGGCCTCTCATGGATGTATTGGGAAGATCTTGTTGAGTAAAACAAGTAAAATGGTAAACCCCAAATTGAGTAATGAGGAACTGTCCAATGCAACGTTCTTATCACCATTGTGCATGCTTTCCCATCTGGTCCTGCAATCATGCATAAATTACGTGTAAATCAATGTTTTTTTTATTTTTTATTTTTTATTTTTTTTATTATTGGATAGTCGCAAAAAGTAAATGATATACTAGATAAATAAAATTTGATGTCTTGTCATGTACTATGTATAATGGTACCTGTAATACCGCCTCTAATAACTTTAATCTGGCCATTTAGTCATAGAATTTCCACTAATTTGAAAATTATGTGACAGTTAAATTTAAATGAAAATGAGTATATTTTAATGTAGCCAATTTAAATTTAATAATCCGACAAAATCGTAACATTTCACTAGCCAACCAATTAACAAAAGGTAAGCAATACACTTATTAACAAGAGGAAAAGGTATGCATTATTAGCTAATAAACATAAATTAGTACTAGCTAGCTCTATTTGCATTGCTCTTTAGACTACACATAGTATGAACTTGGGATTCAATGATTCAATATTCTTTTCCATTGAGCATGTCGTATATACAAGATGCATGGTATATCAATGATTACTATGATATAAATCATAATAATCGTAGATACTGAAGTTTAAGCAAACAACTAATATTTAATCATGGCTTAGGACTAAGTACAAATTAAGATTATGTTCTGGTAGTATGAAAAGCATATATTATAATGAATTAATCATGTATCTTATGCTTAACATCGCTCTTATCAAGTATGAACACTATATATTATATTTTTTTGCATACATATATACAACTAGTATGAACACGATTATTTTATAACATATGATATGAATTTCATGCATATTACTCGATCGTAATTAGATTCTGTCGGTCCATGCAATATGAACAACATTTATCATATTATATAAAGCTATAATAATTGTAGCGAGCTTACACATGTAAAAGAAAAGTAATTAGGAAGTCAAACCAAATGAAATTTGAAAAAACAAAGGTCAACACTCACATGATTGGAAAATATTGACTAAAGGAAAGGTCAAATAGATAGTCATCATCATATATGATCAATTGACCCCAAATCTACTTCTTTATTTGTTTAGGTAATATTTTAGGTTTTTTTTATTATTATTTATTATTATTATTATTTACTTCTTTTTTTTTAGTGTTTTGCCTTGATTTTAATTACTAATTAGTTGTAAAGTTGAATACTTCATCAATTGATTAGTATTACATTATAAGCAACAATATTAACAAAGTCAAGGTTTAAATTTATTGATATGAATGGAATTGAAGTCAAAGCACTAATTGAATTGACCTATTCTTAAGAGTACCTTGATAGAGTACAAATATGAGTATATGACCAACTAATTAAGGGTTTTAAATTTTTTTTTAAAAAATGAGAGAGAAAACTTTGTACTCCTATGATTATTAGTTAATTGCTTGCTTGCAATATATTTAACCAGGTTACTTGACCTAGTACTTGTAAAATATTTATAATAATTTATAAAATGAAATATTTAGCGTAATAGTAATAATTAAAATATTTACGCATGCCAAAATAAATATGTCAAGATCGGTATACATGTTAATGAGAAATTCTAAAACAATTTTTCGTTTAAATGAACCAAGGACATTATTGCAAATAATATATTGTACATTACATATGTATAAAAGAAGGAAATTTTGAACATGTAATCAAATTTATAGGCCAAGACTCAAGAGGTACAGAATTTAAAACATGCATGTACTTAATTTGCTAGGCTTAAGGAATGTAATTGCATCAAATTTATAAGTAATTAATAAAGAAAAAAAAAAGCATGCATAGTTAGATTTTATAAAAATTATACTCGTATATTATATTGTATATAAGCAAAACACTAACTAAGTTGGCAATTGGCATGATGCATGACCAATTGACCACTATTTGCCACATGCGATGAAATTGTAGGTATATTAGAAATTTAATTTCTTTTTGAAATTTGATGAACTAATGGATCGATGTTGGAAATTTCATACTAATTTAATTTCAATAAAATAAGCTAAGGAATGGTTGAAGAGTGTTGACTATGAACATATATATGTTTATTTTTTAATTACGGTTTTGTATAGATATTACTCGTACAACTTAATTATATTCCATGTAATAAAGATTGAGTCAATTATGCCAATTTCCCAATTGTCATAAACAACTCAAATATTAGAAATTGGCAATGTAAGACTAAAAATTATGTAACAGAACATAAAATTTGGTGTATTTGGCCAATATGGGTTGCAGCAATGTTTGCATTTGTTACAATAAGATCCTAAGTCATACTCAGTAGTCAGTATAACTTACCGCTTCAAGATAAAATGTGATTTAGGACACGGACATGTATGCTTACATAAATAATTAACCATGAGTAAATTGTGATACAACCTCATATTTTACCACTAAAAAATGGTAATAAAAAACCTCATAAGATAAAAAAAATTAATAAATTACTTTGACAATACAATAATAACGTAATATAATTAAGAAGATCACATGTACTTCGTATATTGTAATGTTATTAGATGATCATCCAAAGTACGACTAATGATATATACGAGTATATATTAATAGTACGTATAATTACTCTATCAGTCTCTATTTGTTCTTTTTATGATATTCTTGAGAGAAAAATATTAAAATGGAATGAATAAATCGAGATAGAGGCAGGAGTAGCCAACTAATTTAATAAGAATAATAATAATATACCTTGGTTAGCTTCAGCACATTCAACAGCAAGGTCTATGCCAGATTTCTTGTAACCAACAATTGCAACACTTTTTCCTTTAACAAGTGAAGAAGCTTCTTCCTTGTTTAATTTGCAATAATCAAGAGTATGTAGCACCTTTCCTTTGAATATTTCTGGCCCTTTTTTTGGTGGAAAAGTGGGAATTTTGGGTATGTCACCATATTTTCCAATACAGACCACCACTAACTCAAAAGTGTACCTCTGGAATAACATGTATAGTGGAACAAATTAACACAATATACCGAATTTAAAGAATATGTTCAATTTATATAAACGACTTTTATATATCGAGGTAACTATTGATTGTTACTTTATATATGAGTTTTTTTTAATGACAAAGTATATAGACGGATGACCATTTTTATTTTAGTAAGAAAAAAAATTAAAACATAGTCATCAATCCCTAAAATAGGACCAACAACATATTACATGCTATCTTTTCGTACAACAAAATTAAATATCCAAGATAAAAGAGTAAATTTGAGATGTTATAACAATTTTTCCCTTATTTTGGTCTTATGACTTTTTTCTTTTAGTAAAACAAGATCCTTGTTGTTTTACTCCGTAATTAATACTACAAAACAATAATTATTGTTCTCCAAATTAGGTAAATATTATTATGGCTTGAGTATATAACTGAATTATACAATTTCTTTCCATAATTATGGAGATTATTCATTATTACAGTACATTTTTGTGAGTTTCACATAGCATGATACTGCCTTTGTTACAAAATAGATATAACGCTTTGACTTTTTTGTTTATCAAATCAGGGCTTTGGCCTCTAATATTTGTATATGTTCATTAGTAAAAATATAAACTACTCGGTAGATATCTTAAAAATATACATTAAATTCAAAATTATTGTGAAACGGAGGTAGTATAACTGTATATGTATTATGATACGGAGGTAGTATAATTGTGCTTTTTTAAAATAATAATAATAATATCTCACATGCAAAATGCAATAAATACCTCCTTTAAGACATGCAACAATTTCATAAAGGATATACAATTTTACCTCAATGGAGTCAAAATCATCGTTAGTTTGAACGGCAACCTCCCACACGGGGTGGCCGGTCATCAACCTCCCGTACTCCCCCTTCCCTTCGCGGTGATTTTCATCCCCGATGTAACGGAGCTCAACCACCTTAGAACGAAACTTAACAAACTTAAGGACATCAAAGTGGTTAGCATAGGAGTGCAAATAGTCAATGATCTCAACATAAGAAGGGAAAGAAGAATTATCCCTATCCGGCCAAGGAAAATCGGAAAATTCATAGTCACATCGCGGTGTTTGAAGTTTAGTAGTACGGAAGGATGCATGTTTCCATACACCTCCTATGGAGTCACTAGCCTCAAAGACCATAGGCTCGTACTTGGCTAGTTGTTTAGCGGCCGCTATGCCGCTAATCCCGGCCCCTAGGATGGCTATCTTAGAGGAAATAGGAATCATTTTGAAGAGAATTGAGGGTTATGGTAGGAAGTAAGGGTGTTTAGAATGAATGTGATGAATTTCAAGGGTTTATAAATTTGTGTTTGTGTGTGAAATTGAAGGAGTGTTTAGAAGGTATTTATAGTGAATAGAGAGAGTAAGGGGTGGGGCACGTTATTATAATGGTCATGTGAATAATTGTATGACTTTGAAATAATCTTTGTAGAAATGGGAAAGAGGATCATAGTCTTAAGGGTATCATCTTCAATGCATGCATGGATAGGGGACCGTTCGTTACTTCCTTCCTTTTCGGTTTTTTTTTTTTTAAATTGGTTGCTTCCTTTGTTTTATAATACTTGTAATATTTTGACTTGTAGATATGATTAAATTATACTTCATATATAACTCCGGTTTTAACCGTCATTTATTACTCTCTCCGTCCCTAAATTACTTTCCTACTTCTAGCATCTATTCCTTACATAATAGAGAGAAGTAGGAATGTAATTTAGAGAAGGAGGGAGTATGTAAAGAGTAATTAATTTATCCTCTATTCAGAAAAATAAAAATATCTTTATTGTAATTTTAGATTCAATGTCAAATGAGAAGCTAGATCCTTAAAATTAATCCTTATAAACACTTGTAATTCTATACGGAGTAAGCTAAGTACTCCCTCCATCCTTAAATTACATTCTTACCTAAAGAGAAGTAGGAATGTATGTAATTTAGGGACGGATGGAGTATTAAACTTCAACTTTTTATTTATGATTCTATATTACTCCTTATGTAACACTTGTAAGATTATGTTTTGTATGTCACATTATTTTTGCTTATGTAACACTTGTAAGGTTATGTTTTGTCACATTATTATTGCTTATCTGATCTAATTTTTTTATTGGTGATTCTAAAGTGTATTTTTACAATATGTAATTTTCATAACTTTTTCTTACGTATGTAATTAAAGATGTATAGCGATGAAAGACACCAATAAAACAATAAAGTCTATTTTATATATATTCAAATTTGATTTGATTTGAAATTATTTTTTTCCTGATTTGATCTGAATTAAGCAATAAGGTCTTCAAATAGATAAACGTAGCCTTTATTACCCTTTTACTTAGTTTAATTTAAAATTTAGCTCATATCAAACCTTATCTATTGTAAGAATAGCCAAATTATATTATATAAGTATGCTAACAATAAAATACGGAGTACATTGTTGGTATTTATTTTTAATAGGATGTCTTATTGGGAGAAACCTCTCACAAATCAACCCGACTTGATTAGTGAGGTATGTCCTTTGATAATGAGAGGAAAGGGTAAAGAAATTTCCAACCCAAAATATAGCATCTCTAATGGGGTTTAATCCCATAACCTGCAAACCTTTCAATTAGACTAAGCATCCCGGTAAAATGGGTAATAGTGAAGAATACAAATTATAAACTCTATATATTAGCATTGACCCCAATTAAATAAGGGTTATTTATTTTAGTATGGATGAAGTACAAAGTAATACGCATGTATGATCATATGGATGACATTACCATCAACACGATTATAAAATGGTTAAATTATTTGGACAGGCAGTATTCAATCATGCAATCAATATTATTGAACTTATACAATCTCAACTTGAAACATAATTTGGTTAGCCTCGTTACATCGTTATTATTTTTAGTTTGTTTGATATGCCAAAATTTTGGTTTTTACAAAGAGGAGCAGCAAACCAATTATTTGGTACAATTGCGAAAATTAAGATATGTGTGAATTTTTTCATCCATCCTTCCCTCCTGTGTCCGATTCCTTGTCCCTCCCTACTTTAGCCATTTAAAACGCATTCGGGTGCATCTACCACCTAGTACCAAGTCATCAAGTTTCAAATTTATTCAAATTAGGAAAGAGATTCAAATGAGCAACTTAATAGCTTTGAATTCTTTTTTAACTAGGGACATTATTCGTGTGCATAATATGAACGCTTTTATGAATCGAAAATTTGAATGCTCTATCTCCTAATTTCTCTCTTCGCCTATCTCTCCAAAATTTTCTCTACCTCTCGTTTAAATTTCTTTCTCCCTCAACTTGCAACTCCACCACACAAATATAAATGGAGCTAAAAACTTGACAAAAATCCATAAATAAAATTTGTATTATTAATAAGATGATAAAACTAGTTAATTAGATGATAAAACTAGAGTGTGACTCAAAGGTTTTGTATGAACTCTTTCTTTAAAAATCACTATTAGGGATCACACACATACAAAGTTGCTATAAAAATTATGAATACCTAGTTGTTGAAATTGAGCAAATTAGGCTAAAAATAACATAAAAGGTGTTTGGGTCCAATTTAGTCAAAATTGGGCCTGAGCACTAAATGATCCAATTAAAAGCCCAAGGTCAAGGTTCAACTCTCCAATTGCTCAAAAGTCAAAAGTCAGCCCACAAAGTAAGCCAATTGGGCTAAAGCCCAACCTCTCCAAATATGATGAGGTATAAAAGCCCTCATATTAACACATTCAAGGAGAGAGTCATATTCTTACATAAGACATCTCATAACATCACATACGAGACACAACAACACATGCATCATCACATACATTATCTCATACACGGATTATTCCAACTCATATGCTCATTCTTGCATTGAGAAATACTCCACAAAAGCCTCAAGCTACAAACTCTCTTGCATAGTGTCTTCCTTTTTACACATTGTACTGACTTTAGCATCGGAGGGGCCTTCCTCGGAAACACCCCCGAGGCTAGTTTACGTGTGTTCACTGTGCAGGAAACCTTCGGCCCAACACAGCTTGGATCGAATCCAGTCTTCTCCATTTTAGTGGACCTTCGGCAAGGTCCCATTGTTTTCAACCGAAACAATTTGGCGCCGTCTGTGGGGAAGACTTTCAAAGATCTTTAAGCCAAATTCCTAACCAAGATCATCTTGCAATTATCTTAGCAGCCATGGCTAAGAACCGCAAGAGCAAAAGCCTCCGTCAAGGAGCGGGCGAAAAGCCTAAAACCCCTACACCATCGCCCTCGCCGGACCGGAACTCTCCCAAGGGTGCCGGCTCGGGGGAGGATCACACAAGGAGGATTCCCTATCTCCTATAATGCATGACTCTCAATATAGGCCGGACCACTCTCGGTCTAGCAGGGGTCAGTCTGATCATAGGACATATTCAGTGTCCCGAAGCCAACCATCGGCTGCACGGCCTCATGCCCACACTCGGCCGGAGACCCCTTTGACGGGGCCCAGTTCGGAAGAGGTGGCAAGAGCGCTGGCAGTACTCATGGAGGCAATGAGGGCACAGAATATGCCACCGCCTCGTGATCGAACTCCTCCGCATACCCGGCATCAGCGGAGGAAGTTAGACCATGACGGTGGGAAGCTTCCTTCCTTCCGGGAACTGGAAGAGTGGGAGGAGGATTCTTGGAAAAATGAAAAACAGAGGAAGAAGAACTCTCAATTATTTAAAGGATCCTCATCCTCAAGACCAGCAGCGCATAAGAGCAGCAGCTCAGCTTCTCGGCCAGAATCTACTCGCCGGGAACCTGAGACTGCTCGCAGAAGCGTCCTTGACCGACTCGGCGGCCAGGAACCGAGCGTGCGTAGTCGCCTCACGTTCCCTGCAGCCGAGGCCCAGACTTCCCAGCCAGGGACGAAAACCACTCCTACCTCTCTGAGAGGGCGGAGCGCGGTCCCTTCGGCCAGGAACAAGGGCAAGGCCATTATGCTTCCCGCTAGTTCACCATTCGAGCAATGGATACTAGAAGAGCGCGTACCCACGGTTAAAATACCGTCGCATATCACATATGACGGGACCACGGATCCGAAGGACCACGTGGCCTCGTATGAGGCTCATATGCATCTTTGCCCCAGATCCGAGGCAACTTGGTGCAAATATTTCCCAACCACTCTCAAGGGGGTCGCGCAAGCGTGGATCTCCAAGGGAGTAAGGCAAGGCTCCATAACAGGTTGGGATGATCTGTCCTCCAAGTTCAGGAGCAAGTTTTCCACGGCAAACCGCCGAGAAAAGACTACCGCAGAGCTCATGGGTCTGCAACAGGGGGAAACCGAAAGCCTCCGAGACTACCTGACCCGTTTCAGTAACGAGTCATCAAGCGTCTCTCAGCTGGACCAGGGGCTAGCTGTTTTTGCAATGCAGAATGGCCTTCAGCCAGGAAAATTCCTAGACTTCATGGTCATGCATACCCCGCAGACCTTGGAGGAAGCTCTTAGTGCTTCGGATAAGTTCATCCGAGCCGAAGAATGGAATAAAGCAAAAACCCAACCTCAATCCGGGGGAGGGAAACAGAGGCAAATACCCTTGTCTGAAGGCCAAGGCCATAAGGAAAAGGGAAAATCAAAGGCCTCGGAGCCATCTTCGGCCAGCGACCTAAAGAAGGACAGGTTTGCCTCATACACAGGCAGATACGAGTCCTACACTCCGCTCTCTCTTCCACGCGCCAAAATTTACAGTGTGACGAAGGAGGAGCAGAGTTACCGAAAGCCGAGACCACTCCCAGAGTGGTATCAGCGAAAAAATAAAAATCAGTGGTGTGAGTTCCACGAGTCTTCGGGCCACAACACTGAAGAGTGTATCCAGCTGAAGGACCAGATAGAAGACATGGTCCGGAAGGGATACTTGAAAAAATACATCGCGGATCACCGCGAGAAAAAAGAATCCGAAAGGTTAGCAAAGGACCCTCGGCAGGACCTTGATTTCCCCCGGAAAAACAGTAAAAAACCGGAGGGGAAATTCCCTCCGATCAATGTTATCTCGGGAGGAATATACTCTCGGAGGGAGCACAAGCGTCACCTTAGAGCTTTGACTCACCAGGTGAACAACGCTGACATTCAATCTCCCCAGTCGCCGGTGCCGAACATGACGTTCACAGCCGCCGACTGCCGGGGGATTACGTTCCCTCACGAGGATCCGTTGGTGATCATCGCCACGGTGGCCAACCACGACGTCAGTAAGGTCCTTGTTGACGGCGGCAGCGGAGCAAACATTCTGTTCCGAAAGGCCTACAACCAAATTAAGCTGAAGCCCAAGCACCTTACGCCGGTACCCTATCCGGTATCCGGGTTCAATGGGGCTTCAACTTATCCAGATGGGAAGGTGACACTTCCTGTCACCATCGGTTGCGATGAGGCAGCCCGGAACGTCATGATTGAGTTTTTGGTCATCGACGCTCCTTCAGTGTACAACGTGATTTTGGGGAGACCCATAATTCACGAGATCCAAGGGGTCGTCTCAACTTATCATCAGCTGATGATTTATGTCTCAGACGCCGGCTTCCCCGAAAGGATACAGGGCAACCAGAAGGACGCCCGAAGGTGCAACTACCTCAAGCCATCCAGTAGTCGCCCAGATAACGACAAGGATGAGGAGGAGAAAGAAAAAGAAAGAGAGCCAAGCACAAAAAAGCCGAAAGGCCTAAGTGCTTCGGCCCAAGGATCAGTGCCCAGGGAAAAAGGTCCCGAAAGGGAAAAGGTTGACTCTTCATCTGAGCCGAAAGACTCAGAGAGCCAGCCGAAGAACACAAAGACTGGGACACCTGCTGACATTGGCAGCAGACCAGATTCTGAAGAGTCCAGTCCATCGGCAATGGACATGGACCAACAGACTGAAACAGTTGAGTTAGCCGAAGGAGATGC